AGATATCATAAAGTTATCAGGTTTTATATCACAATGAATTATTTGTTTTGAATGAATATATTCAACCAATTTTTATCATTTTAAATAATAATCTAAAAGATGTTTGTGAAGAGAATCTTGATGTTGGTTGATTTAATCGAAGTTGATTAAGATTTATTATGTGTAATTCAAATACTAAACAATATCCATGTAATTCATATCCACATTCAAAAAATTGAATAATACCTTCATTTCCTTGTAGATTTTTAATAATAGTAGTTTCATTTAATGCACTACTTTCTTCATTAATGATTTTTATTGCAGCACTCTTATTTGTTTTTATATTCAAACAACGAAATACATTCCCTAATTCTTATAAATTATCTTATCTTTTAACCAATCTACTTATTAATACAAACCATATGTTCCACTACCAAGTGGTTCTTTAATAATCCAATCATGAAATTGTTTTTGTGACTTCATCTTAATAACAGAAGTGATTTAAAACTAATTTATAAATCATATGTACCTTTTATCTGTTTCCTTCTATCTTAAAACTGGATTTCAAACAAAAATACTCTTTTTACTTTGAAAGAATCAAAGGAAAATGACTCAAGTGAATATTCTCTTTCATTCTTTCTTCTAAAAGTATTGTTTCTTTTCTCTCTTCCTTTTCTTTCATATTTCTAAAATAACACATTTTTATTTAACAACAATACATTTAACTTCTTATTAACTCCATTAAACAAACTTCATTTTATTTTAACACTTTCAAAAAGAGTAGAGAAAAGAAGTATGGATTTATAGAAAAAGATGTGTTGTATGAAAGGAGCTCTTATAAAAGAAGAATTAAAAGTATTGAAAGAATCTTAAAAGAAAAAGTCTTAAATATGATAACCCACAATATGCCAAACTCAAACCCCACAGTATTTATTGCTTTTCAACAGCCAATAAAAAAGGCAATTGTCTGCAATGACCTGTATGATTCAGTAATAAGATTTGGTAAAATTCAAAGAATTATTTGTATGAACTCACCTCGACCTGACATGCCCCATTCGTTAATAGAATTTGAATCACCAGAGTCAAGTAATAAATGCATTGAATATCTTAAAACTAATCCCCTCCCAATTCTTAATTATAAATGTAGAGCAGAAGTAAGTAATGCAGAAACATTAAATGTTAAAACTGAGAGTCCACAAGCACATGACTATACGATTAGTCCTAGATTTGTGCATGAAACACCAATAACAAGAGTATTACTTGTTAATGAATTACCTCGGTATTTAACCCCACAATCCCCTTTTCATTTTTATAATCTTTTTTCATTATATGGGTCTA